AAAGTGATTTCAATAGCAGAAAGTTTATAGGTATAATTATGGTACAACATATAACCAAATGCAGTGGGAAATCTCCCTACAGACCTAAAGTCGAGCAGAAAACCATTCTCAGGGCAGATGTTAAGCATTTTGGTTTAAAAGCTCTTTCCAGATGATGTTGATCCTCATCGTCAGTAAAGAAAGTAATTATGACAAGTAAGGAATGATGTTGATAACATCAATAAGATAGTTCCTAAGTCATCTTTATTGTTTTTACAGGGCGGGCCAAGGCCAGCCAGAATTATTAGTATTAGCATTCAAATTGCTTATAAAGAGCTTCAAGCATGATGATAATTTATGAAGTCAGTGTATATAGTAAACAAAACATGTCTTAGGTGTGTTCAATCTAGAGCTAATTGATGAGGTATCATTAAAAATAATAATGCTCACATCACGTGTGTTGGGAACTGTCCACAGCAGTCCATCTTTAAGTTGAGAAAGAACAGAGCCTGTTTTTAAACTGGCCCCTCACCTCTGTTTTATTTTGTTGCTCTTGGAGCTGTGCTCTGCTTTATATGTGGGATTTCAGTAATTCTCATCCCCAGAGAATTTTTTAGGCAGCAACTCTTCCATGCAGTTTAAGGTAGGAAAGTTGTAACCTTGCAATATGAAGTTTGAGATATCCAAATTTGTGAGCGATCCTAACTGGGCAAAACTTTATGCATAAATGCATAGCATATATCTTTCTGAGTATACTGATCTATCTATGAGATATATTCAACATTTACTCAATTTTTACCATTTTTAGGAGATGCAAGTTGTGGATTACATTTAACATAAAGATAGGATATCTTTTTTGCCGTGCTTTCCTTCTGTGAACAGGCATGCTTTTTTGTCTACTTTTATTTCTGTAAAGTTTCACAGACGTCCTACAAAGTGCGAAGTTTTATTCCCATTTTGCAGGTGAAGTTAAATATTGGTTACATACATACACACCCTCAAAGTAAACACTGTGGACTAACCAGAACACTGGCCCAGAAGTTGGGCTGTAAGGAAATGCTCTCTGCTCTTAAAAGAAAGGACAGGACTGAAGCCAGAAAATGGCCTTGGCTTTCTGGTCAGAGTCCTCTGCGCTCCCAGAACCGGTCACACAGACTCCTCCGCATGGCTTCACCTGTTCCTAACCAGGTCTCTGCTCAGCCCTGACCTGCCTCCTGCGACCTGTGACTAATCTCGGCTTCAGTTCATGCCATTGCAGCTCCTAACCGCACATGCTGCCGTAGCCCCGACCCAGCCTCCCGGCCTGTGGCCTTTTCCCAGTTGTAGTCCACTTTGTACCCTGCCCTCAGCTTAATCCTGCTGGAAAGTCCTGCCCAGGAACCTTTAGAAGCTCCCAGTTGCCTACCAGCAAGGTCCAAGTCTACTAGGATGGCCTTGACTAGTGCGGACTCCCATTCTGACCCCCGACGGCCTTTATGCGCTTGGTCCTGGGCTTTGTCTCACTCTCCCAGCCTCCCTGGTGTTCTGGGCAGTCCTACCCAGATCCAGCTGCTGCAGCCCACAGCAGTGGGGCCTGGAAAAGGACCTTTGGTTGCTTTTTCCCTAACAGCTTTACGAGGCATAAGTAATATATAAAGACTTGTGCATATTTAATGTCTACAATTCGTTGTGTTTGAACATATGCAAACACCTATGATACCATCATCACATCAGAGCTTGCTTTTTCAAATAACAGCTAACAGATTTTGAGTACGCATATGGCTCAAAAATCAAATGATATAAAAGCATGTTTCCCCCTTTACAGCTTGTTGCTCATCTAGTCCCCTTACATTGCCCCTCTCTCAGTAACCTCTTTTATTAGTTCCTTGTATATCATTTCTTAAGTGATCCCTTTGTATCAGTACATTGATTTTTTTGCTCTTTTATAGTTTCATGGTATTTCATCATATTCCTGTACCAAAATTTATTTAACTAGTCCCCTGTTGATGGACATATGTCATATTGCACATGTGCAAGTATATCTAGGATTATTGATTCACAGGATATATATTATTTGAAATTTTGATAGATGTCTTTTAGCTTTTTTAATTGATAATTTTTAAATATCAAAAAAGCAGCTCAAATTCCACTTCTCCTAAAATCCTCAAACCAAAGGGAGCTCTCATCCTTCTGCTGTGTGTCTGTCCCTCATTAGCAGTCACGTGTGTGTTATTTCCCTAACTGAAGTGAAAGAACTCCGCGCTTGCTTTCACATCCTCAGAACTTACTCTGGTACCCATAGATGCATCTGCTCATTGATCAGATGTTCATGTCTTTTGTTCAAGAAGAGAAGTCTCTGCTGTGGACCTGAACATAAGGAAGCTGCGTGCTACTTACTAGTGGTTTATTGAGACAAAGCTCTCTTTGGAGGGCAGATGCTCTCAGGCAGGCGCCACAACCAATTTAAAAATATTTATTGAGCATCAGAAATATAGACACAGTGAGAGGCTAGGGAGGAAGAAGAATGAGCAAGACCCCTTCCCCAAGTTTACTAGGCCTTTATAGTGTTTTAAATATATTTCAAAAACGTTTGTAATTGGGAAATTACATACATAAAAGTGCAGAGATTTTAAGTATACAGATGGAATGATTGAAAAATCTGCTTGAAACATTGTTAGTTAAAAATCTCTTGAAAAACTCGTTCTGGTAATACCTTCCCCTAAGTCAGGGTAGTCACTCCCCAATTTCTCTGTTCCTTTTTTCCTGTTCCCTGAATGCATTTACATTTGAAATCCCTGATTCTCAATAAAGTAGGATGTCTAGGCATCTGGGAGGCAGAAGGGGTTTGGGGCGGGAGGAAAGGTAATTGGAAGAGCAGAGATAAGAAGACTGACAAAGGAATTGAGCAGTATAAATTGAACACCAGCCCTAACTGGTTTGGTTCAATGGGTAGAGTGTCATCCTGCGGACTGAAGAGTCCTGGGTTCAATTCCAGTCATGGGCACATGCCTGGGTTGCGGGCTCCATCCATGTAGTAGGTGTGCAGGAGGCAGCCAATCAATGATTCTCTATCATCATCAATGTTTCTGTCTCTTCTTCTCCCTCTCTGAAATCAATAAAAAATATATTAATAAATAAATTGAACAACAGACTGCTTATCCATTGTATATTTACTTTTATTTTAACAAAGTTTGTTTGTTTGTTTATCCTCATCCCACGATATTTTTTCCATTGATTTCTGGAGTGGAAGGGAGGGAGGAGAAGGGAGAGAGAAATATCAATGTGAGAGAGACACATCAATTGGTTGCCTTCCACACACACTCCCTCACCGGGGCTGGGATTGTACCTGCAACCCAGGTACATGCCCTTGACCTGGAATCCAACCTGAGACCCTTCAGTGCGTGGGCCAATGCTCTAACCACTGAGCACACCACCAGGGCACATGTTAATAGTTTTTAGAAAAATCAATTCATTTTCTGCAGTTTAATCTCTTCAAGTACTGTGTTTTGTCTCCATCTCCTCAAATAGCATTGTTGGTGGTTAAAAACAGAGCATTAGTTGGTATTTTAAAGTGTAAAATTAAAACACCTGATGAATCTGTAAGCAGCCTATCAAAGCCATGACTCAGAACAAAACCCAATTCTAAAATGTTTATCTGATGTCACAGAATAAATTTTAAAACAAGCCATTTGCCCTCTATAGTTTATCTCAGCTGCACCTGCCATCGAGAATGCTGCCCACACACAGGAACTGTTGTTTAAAGACAGAAACGATCAGTCTTACCAGAAACGATCAGTATTACCAGGTTCTTGTATATTCTCCCAAAGATACTCTGTGAATAAAAAAGCATACTGCATGTGTGATGTGTGAACACAGACACACACCAAGCCCTCCTCCATTTCTACACAAATGGCAACAAGCTGTGTGTTCTGCACCTGTTTTGTTTTCATTTTACTTAACATCTGGGTTGTTTTGTTTTTTTGGCAACGTTATATATATACACCCACACTATTCTTTTGGCTGCATAATATTATGTAATTTAAGCAGTTTCTTCCTGGTGAATGTTTACGTTTGCAATCTTTCCTCTACAAACAGCACTGTTAAGGACATCCCTTTACATTTATTTCTGTGCATGGGTGCACATGTATCTAGAGTATGAGTTCCTAGAATGTGCCTTTTAAATAGTGTTTGTTTTGGCCCAGTTGCCCTGCAAAGAGTGTACCGGTTTACTTTCCATCAGTGTATGTAAGTGCGGTTTCTCAACACTCTTGCTAACACTTCTATTATCAGGTCATTTGTTCTTTGCCATTCTTCTTGATGAAAAATGATATTTTGATGTGGTTTCAAATTGTCTTTCTGTTGTTTTGATCCAGAATGATTTTGTCCAGGAAGAATAGCTCAGAGCTGCCAGGCCACTTCTTACTCATCACAATCATTTCTGCTGCTTTTCTAATTCCTTTTTTTCTTTGCCTCGGAGCAAAAGTGAGACAGACTTGTTTAAAAAAAAATCCGTTTGGGGAAAGAACATTGCATATATAATGACTAGATTACACATTAAAAAAACAACACTGAGTCCATTTATTTGACCCATTTCTCTTCTCGTTTCCTAGGCTGCCTCTCTTTCCTCTATTCCTTTTATTCCTTTCTCCAGAGGACCTCACACTAGTCAGAGACATGAGAACTTCAATCTTCCTTCTGTCTGAACAGATTTTTCCAAATAAAGTTCTCCAAGAATTATTAGCTTATTTCCTTGGAGGTACCTGAAAATTATTTCTACTCAGCAAACCAGCAGTAGAATCACAGTTCTGTAAGGGCTGGGCTTTTCACTGCTGTAACCCCAGCCCTAAGATAGTGCCTGACACACATAGACACTCAAAAGCTTTATTTATATGTATGTAACCTACATAATATAAAATTGACCATTTTAACAATTTTTAAGTGTACAGTTCAGTGGCATAGACTACATTTACATTTCATTAGTTTTCTTTCAGATGAATGAATGAGTAGTGATACTTGTTTTTTGTTTCTGAAATTAACAAGAGCCAGATGGTCTTTTAATTCACATTGTTCTTTCCTCCAGACGAAGTCATACGGAAGCGTCTCCTAATTGATGGAGATGGCGCTGGAGATGATCGCAGAATTAATCTGCTAGTGAAAAGTTTCATTAAATGGTGCAACTCTGGATCCCAGGAAGAGGGGTATATCTTTTCACTGTTGTTTCTATACCACTGTCCTCATGTGATTCTAGGCCTTATACACAGTTCTGATAATGCAGATTTTCACCCACCTTAAATGTCCAATTGAGTCAACTCTTGGTTAATCAAGAGTGGGTTTTTCTGGCCTTAATTCTCTGGAGAGGCCTGCTTTATGTTTGTTAAAAGGTGTAGAAGGCATAATGACTAGAAGAAATGAAGATTAAATCCAGGCTCATTATTTAGTCACTTTTAGCAGATATGTGTTTAAATATCTAAATAAAATGTTCTTTTTTAAATAAGCTAATAGGTTGTTGCAAAGTTTTGTACATATTTAATAATTTTTAAATTAGAAAAATTTTCCTCATTTGAATTAGCTTTTCACATAGACAAATAACCACATAGAGTGAAAAAATCGTGAGAATTGTGAAGACAAAAAATCTGATCAAAACATTTCAAAAAGTATTTAAAACAAGGAGCTGTTTAAATTAAACTTATACTGATAGGAACAACAATACCATCTTTGCATTTTTAACCAAAGCAGTTATAAACTCAAGTGTACTATATTTGGGGAAGGAAAACAAGGGACAGATAGTCTAAATTATTTAAAGTAAAGCAAAGGATTCTCTCAGAACTTTATATAATTTAATTAGCAAATGTTTGCCTACACTATAAACAGTTCAACTTCGGTAATCCGCAAAAATCTTTATCCCATTTTTCTCTCTTTTTTATTAGTTACAGCCAGTACCAACGTATGCTGAGTACACTGTCCCAGTGTGAATTTTCCATGGGCAAAACTTTGCTGGTATATGATATGAATCTCAGAGAAATGGAAAATTATGAAAAAATTTACAAAGAAATAGGTAAAGAAACCTAAAGTAATTAATCTTTAGCTATAATTTTAATTTTTATGGCCTAAGGGAAATAATACTTGCAAGTATTTTTCTTTGATTAGTAGTAAAATAATGACAATAACAATATTAATAGAAAGAATATAGTAAAATCAGTTACAAAAATGTATTTTAATATGATATAGTACTTTACAATTTTTTTAAAAAAATGTCAGCATCTATTTTATTAGCAATGGAACTTAATTTAAAAACATTTTAAATTTTAAAATGGATAGAGATTATAGATGTTGTTATAACTATCTTAAAAAAAACCTTTTTCTATAGAATGTAGCATTGCTGGAGCACATGAAAAAATTGCTGAGTGCAAAAAGCAGATTCTTCAAGCAAAACGAATACGAAAAAATCGCCAAGGTAAGAGTTTTGTGGGATTTAGTTAGGGTGCGGATGCTTTATTACTGACTAGGATTTTCATGATTTTTTTTTTAATGTTGTGAGGTAAAATCTTCAGCTAGAATCAGCCTAAATTGTAAAAGAGAATTAGGAGCCCTAGCTGGTTTGGCTCAGTGGATAGAGCGTTGGCCTGCAGACTGAAGGGTCCCAAGTCTGATTCAGGTCAAGGGCACATACTTCGATTGCAGGCTCCTCCCCAGCCTGGGCCCTGGTTGGGCATAGGCAGGAGACAACCAATTGATGCGTTTCTCTCACATCGATATTTCTCTCTTATCTTGTCTTCTCTCTTCCATTCTCTCTTAACAATCAATGGAAAATATCCTTGGGTGAGGATTAAAAAAGAAAAAAGAATTAGGAGCCAAACTTAATTCTTCAAAATTATATTATTCTTTAAAATAGAGAAGGAAGATTATGCTAAAAAAAATTTATTTTTCCTGGATTGAATTGATTATGCAAGTATTTCTTAAGTATTTGTTTTTTTATTTTTTATTTTTTTTACTGTCTTCGGACCCCTTTGCCTAAATAATATAATGGTTAATCTGCAAAGGCTATTTACACAAGTACACTAGATTTAGGATTTTGTTTGTTGTTTATTTGTTTAATTGGAGTACTTAAAAAAATAATTTAAGCCCACTGAGTTTTTATTAAGTACAAAGCAAGCAAATATTTACAAGCTGCCTAAATAATAAGAGGAAGGTTAAAGTTTTGCTCTCTTTGTTCTTAAATTAGGGTATATCCTTATTGCAGTCCATAAAAACAATTGCAAAACAATTTTTAAAGGCATAGGTATTGTCCTTCCTATAGTGTAAATTGAAAGAAAGACAGAAAGAAATAAAATGTATAATTAGAATTGTGACATATATGAAAAACTAGAAGGAAATGGAAAATGTTAATGGTTATTTGGGGGTTGTAGGTTTTTATGGCTTAAGTTTTTTTTGTTTGTCACACTTTTGTTGAATTAATATGCAGATTTCCAAAACAATAAATTTTACTTTTTAACGAATAATTACAATGATGTTCAATTCCTTTTTTTTTAAAGTTGTTTTTTTAATTCATTCTAAAATGCATGTGGTCAAGTTTTGGTGGTGAGTTTACAGCAAGATATACCAATTAATAAATCAATTGTAAATTCTTCTTAAATGTTACACATTGTTTTTGTTGACTATTGAGGGCTTTCAAATGAATGCTGCTATTTATCATTTCATAAGAAAGGTTAACGGAAGATACATGGTTTATCCTGGAAGTCTCAGTGGAGCAGAAACAAGGTTCCTGAATTTTAAATCATTTCTAGGTTTCTGAAATCTTTGTCTTTAGAATGAGTGAGAAGTACAATTTGCTGTTTTCTAAGGTCTGGACTTAATGGTATGCTATATTTACCTTGCTGATGGTTTATTTGCTGGGCAAATAGTATGTATACAGTCCTCTTTAGAATCATCCACTGGATCAGTAATGACTTAAGATCACGTATGCCTCTGCTGTTCTCTTGTATTCTGCCCATGAAAAGGCAAGTGGAAAACAGCAGGAGCTAACGTGCTTGCTTGGAACACTTGAATTCGTGTGTCATTGCAGTTGTGGCTGAGTCAAGTGACACTGGCAGTACTCTTTCCTTCCTAAAACGTTTCATTTCCTTATGAACTAGGAAAGTGATTTGGAAAGACTTGTGATATTATACATTTTGTTTTGATACCCAGCTTCAAAAAAACCTTAATTTTATATCTTTCAGAATATGATGCTTTGGCAAAAGTGATTCAACATCATCCAGACAGGCATGAGACATTAAAGTAAGTTTAGAGCTTTACTAGAAAGTAACTAATCTTTATATGTGTTTACATACTGGCCTATGCATTCATTTTTTTTTAGGAATACATAATATGTTTCAAAAGGAGGGACCAGGTTGCCAATATGACATAGTCTAATACTATTAAATAGATATTTTTGATGCTCCCTATACTGCTTGTAGTTCTGAAATAAACGTATATAATATGCATCAATATGAAAATGAATAAATAGAATATGTCCTACTTACATAGTGTAATACTAAATAGTAGTTTAAAAGAACAAAGTAGAAATACTCTTTTTAAACACATAATCAGAGAAAAGAAAAACAGAAGATATGTAAGGTGGGGCAAACATAGGTTTACAGTTGCGAGTGTGAGAAACACAGTTCATTCTTGTATTATTATTTACTAATTATTGTATTATTTTCCATATGAACAACTGTAAACCTACCTTAGAGATACAAATACATGCTTTAAAAAAGGATTGGAATAATATAGTGATTGCCTGAGTGGGTGGTAAAGGAAGAAAAATGGCTTGGGATAGAGGACTGGGGGTAAGATTAAAAGTGTGTCAAGCAAATCTGCAATGTTTTATTTCTTTTCCCAAAAACCCAACTTGAAATAAGTATGACAAAATGTTGTTAAAACTCATCAATTCTTGGGGTTTGATATTCTGTTATCTATGTTTTCCTATACTTTAAAAAGTATATAGAGGTTTCATTTTAATGAAAATAAATGCATACTTAGAAGTTAAGAATAAATCACCGTAGCTTTAAAAGTCTAATTATAATAGAGTATTATAACTCATCCTTTTTTTATTTTTAAAAACTACTTAGTAATTAAAAAGTTAGTTATTAGGAATTCTATTCTTCCGTTAGCAAAATATAACACTTTTATTGTTTTTCAGGGAACTAGAAGCTCTGGGCAAAGAATTGGAGCATCTTTCACATATTAAAGAAAGTGTTGAAGATAAGGTATTTGCATATATATGTTAGATTTCATGATATGTATGTTTATAGATCAATGTGTATTAATTTTTTTCTTGTTAACACAGCTGGAATTGAGACGGAAACAGTTTCATGTTCTTCTTAGTACCATCCACGAACTTCAGCAAACACTGGAAAGTAAGTAGAAATAGCTTAATAACGAATGTTTATAAGGATTTTTAATGGCCCAGGGACATGCCTTCTAAAATATACATCTCAAAGAGAGAGTACACGTTCAATTTTATTATTTTTTATTTTTTAATATATTTTATTGATTTTTCATAGAGAGGAAGGGAGAGAGATAGAGAGCTAGAAACATCGACGAGAGAAAAACATTGACCAGCTGCCTTCTGCACATCTCCCACTGGGGATGTGCCCGCAACCCAGGTACATGCCCTTGACCAGAATCGAACCCGGGACCCCTCAGTCCGCAGGCTGACGCTCTATCCACTGAGCCAAACCGGTTTTGGCACGTTCAATTTTAGAACATCAGTGTAGTTGGATGACGTTAGAAAGTACTCATGTTGTTCAGCTTTCTGAATATATGCAGAAAAATCTAAATTTGTAGTAATATCTGATTTAAACACATATCCAGTAGTCTATATTAAGAGCAATTTAAGGGTAATAGATTTAGAATTTTTTTGGTTTATTATAGTTTATTGCTATAAAGTAACGATGCAGGACCCAGGCAGGCCATAAGTGAGTGAAGTAGGTAGTGATAAGCATATTTGCATACTCAGTAGAATAGTGGGTGCTTTGGGGGAACTGTAGACTTGCTCATGGTATTGATTATAACCAATAGGAAATTTCTGTATTATCTGATCTGATTGTTTTCAAGAAAAGCTAAGACCTAGGTTTTTGTTTAAAGTGAAATCTATCACGTAAGTTTTACATTATTTCCGTAAGTTTTACATTATTTATATCAGTTTCACATTTACGAATACACAAGAACAACCAAAATGGAACTTTTAAAACCAAACACTTGTGTGTGCCTATTACAGTCATAGGCTATTATTTTGCCATTTTTATTTTAAATTGACTGTCTAATAAAGGATAAACATTTTCATATATTTATTAGACATATAATTTAAGCAAATTTGACTTAAGTTTCATGTTTCTTTCTCAATCACAGATGATGAGAAGCTCTCGGAGGTAGAGGAGGCTCAGGAAACAAGCATGGACGCAGATCCTAAGCCATAGGCCAGCGCTCACCACTCCCCAGCTATTGAAGGAGCAACACGAGCTTAGTGTGTTTAGCATTTGCTGTGCTCTTGAGGAATTTAAAGTTTTGTCAGTGAACTAATTTGCTTTTAAATGTTTACGTACAGTTCATTCATATTTCTTCACACACAAAAAAATGACTCCGCTATATATTTGTTTTGTTATTGAAATACCTTTTTTATTCTTAAACTTAAAAGGTAGGAAGCAGCATCCAAAACTGTTCAATAAAACTTTTTCAAGCTCATTAGTATTCTAGGAAGTTTTTAACTATTAACATTGATTTGCTTACAAAATAAGCTGAAAGATTGTGAGAAGGTGGTGTTTCTAGGATGTCCATGAGAAAGTGAGTCAACTTCTGGAAATTGTTACCATTTTTTTAAATAGGTATAATTGTCCTTTGTTTGTTTTGTGTGGTTTTTAAAAAATATTTTTATTTTTCAGAGAGGAAGGGAGAGAGTGAGTGAGAAATAGAAACATTGATCGCCTGCCTCCTGCATGTGCCCTGACCGGGAATCGAACCAGTGACCTCCTGGTTCATAGGCCTGATCCATGCCAGCAGGCATTGTTACCACTTTTGAAGTGGAGTATTTGGACAGGCTTCAGGAGGGCTGTGAACTTGCAAAATATATGCAAAATGTTTGTGGTGTATCGTTATTGTGGGACAGGTTCCATGATGTTAAGAATCACTGGTGTAAAAGGCAAAGCAAATCCATATGCATTATTTTCTAGATCTCTCTCCTTAATACTTGAGCAATGTGGTTGTTAAATGTTTTGTTCAGCCCTAGCCAGTTTGGCTCGGTGGATAGCGCGTTGGCCTGCGGAGTGAAGGGTCCCAGGTTCGATTCCGGTCAAGGGCCTGAAATCAATAAAAATATATTTTAAAAGAATAATAAAAATAAATAAATGTTTTGTTCATATTTCCTCTCAACTGTTTTGTTCCTTGGGAATAACTTTCAGTGGAGAAAAGTCGATAAAGTGAAGAGTAATTTTAGAATAGTGTATGAATATGGTCTCGCTTAAAGGAATTCATGACCTTTTTAAAAGTAAACTAAGGCTGAATCACCTGTAATTTTCTTAAGTATTAAATTACATTTTCAATACTTGTTAGGTTTCATCTTTATTCATTTATTTTAGTTCAGAAACATGACACTTTACATGAATCATACCCTAATAGTGATACATTTTTATAATTTTAAGAATTTTTATATTTAAAAACATGCAAATTTGAAATTAGCTCAGTTGTAGTTATATTTAAAATGTCATAATACCTTTTTAAAAATATATATTTTTATTTCTGAGAGGAAGAGAGAGAAACCTCAATGATGGGAGAGAATCACTGATAGGCTGCCTCCTGCACACCCCACACTGGGGATTGAGCCCACAATCCTGGGCATGTGCCCTAACCAAGAATCAAACCCTGGTCTCCTGGTTCATAGGTAGACGCTCAACCACTGAGATACAGGGGCAAGCAAAAAGTGTCATAATACCTTTAAATACTTTGTTGTATTTAAAGGCAATCGTGGGAGAAATATTTTTGCAGAATTGTTATGCTTAATGTTTCTATTTTTTCATTATAAGAATTATAAAGCAAAAATTTGCTTATAGTAACTTAGAAATAAAAAGTAATTTTTAAAGTAATTTTTTAAGGACTGTGGGGCAGAATATTATAAAAAAAATGCCTCCTTTTTCATGATTCATTCACTATAGGGATTTATTCAGGATTATGTACCAAAAGGTAAGAATCCCTCTGAAGATAACTTTTATGCAATCCAGAACAAAATCAGAAGCAGCAGCAGGTACATGGGAAACACACATTCTTCAATTTATACTTCCTCATGGTTCTCTTGGAAATCCTCTGGAACTGCTTAGAAGACTGAAGAATTTCGTCCCCTAGAAACTCACACTGTTGAAGCTCAGCGTGCCTTTGGGCCAGTAACTTCAGGGACTTGTCAGTCACTGTTTCTATGAGGTCATCCACCTGTGACAGATAAACACAAAGAAGTGCAGCCATGTGCTGGACAACGCTGTCAAACCTGAGGGATGGTGGTTTTTCCTAAAGATTAATTCAGAAATTGGTGGACATTTTGCACATTCCAAGTATTATTCTAATTCAAGCCGTAGCAAACAGCTTGAAAATACACAATTACTACCCAGTGATAAAGACGATCTCATTTCTTCTCAAAAGAAGCCTATGCGCATGCCTTTATATTAATTGAATTCACTTGGGGTTTATTAGGCACACAGTACCAACCAAGGTGCCTTTAGCAATCCTTCAGCCACTTTCAAAACGCCCCCACTAACATCATTTCTTAATGGCAATCATCAGTTTCACTGCACAGTCATGCTGTCCAGCGGGGCTGTGCATCCAGCGAAACCTGGCCTGCTGCTGCTTCTGAAACACAGGAGTAAAAGCCTTTGTCCACTACCTGCATTTGAAGCTTTCCTACTGTCAAGTCTGGTTTCCGGAGGACATTTCTCGTGCCGTGTTTCCTCTTTCTAAGTGCTGGAAAGTGTGGTCTCTTTTTTGCAGAGCATGGAGCCTATCACAAAGATGCAAACATACAGATTTAAAAAGCGCCAGCATGACTTTTGTGACAGTGCTTAGGTAAGAATTCTTACAAACTGAAGGTTTGCCACATAACAAATGTCAAGTTGGTGACCGTATTCATATTTTCTCCACGCCCCATGTATCTCCTTTGTGCCAGAGCTCTCTTTGAAGAGATCTATAGGGTGCAGAGAATGAGATTGCCTGGTTCTGAAAGGATATACGGTGTCAGGACAAAAGCAGGTCAGTTGTCGCGGAAGAAGAAATTGCCTGTGCGGCCACTGAGCACAGTGAGGTGGAGTCGTTATGGACCGGTGCCCGGAAAGCTCATTATCACTGGATCCAGTTGTTAATTTGGTCTTTTTTCTGTAGGTTTCCTTGTTTTCATGGCAGACATGTCTGCAAACGTAAAAAAGCTCTGGGTTCTTTTCACCACATGCCTGGTACTTTTCCTCTTGTCCCTGGTGTGCTGGTTGCACGTACCTGCTCTCATGGTGTTGCTATTAGGAATCATTTCTAGGCCATGGCTCCTGGCTAATATGCCCTCTTTGGTCTAATTGGGTTCACTTTCTTCTTCTCTTAATAAATAGCAGTAGGACTATTGTGAGACCTGCATAAAGGAGGATATGAGACCACATCTGGGTCCTAGCCCTCGCCTGTGAGGGAGTTTACAAATGCGTGTGCTGAACATACCACTCGGCCCGGCCAGCCTGCCCAGACTCACATGCCACTTGCAGAACTTCCCGGCCGTGTGTATAGTTGAACTCTCTCCTCTCTCACATAAACTTCAGTACTTTTTCCTACTAAGCACTTACCACCCTTCATAATTACTAAAATATTTCTGTTGGTTGGATACCACTAATGTAAAGTCGAATGCCTAGAGGGGCCAGGCAGTTTTTGTAAAACAACCTGGGGCTGGTGTGAACTGGAGAGAATGTGCCTCAAGCATAGGGGGCAGCCTCTGCAGGGCTCCTGCTATTGCTGTGAGGAATTGGGGGGCGGGGGAGAGGAGGCCTAGTGTTTCCAAATCTTCTTAGTTTTCTAATGAAAGCTGAAAAACCAGATTTTTATTGGAAATATTCTAATTTTTAAATGTGCGCAATTAATTTAAATATATTTTGGGGAACATTCTGAGAGCTAAACAAAACCTCAGAATTCTAAAGCCAGTAGAGAACATTTGATTTAATGTTTTTTGATGAATGGTAATTCTTAATTTTCATATAGCCAAATATATCCATTTTTTTTCCTTTTTTTAAAATAAGATCCAGAATATTCTTTAAAAAATATGTTTTTATTGATTTTGGAGAGAGAGGAAGGGAGAAGGATAGAGAGATAGAAACATCCATGAGAGAGAAACATCATTGATCAGCTGCCTCCTGCACACCCCCTACTGGGGATCAAGCACACAACCCAGGCATGTGCCCTAACCAGGAATCAAACTAGTGACCTCTTGGTGCATGGGACGACCCTCAACCAACTGAGCCACATTGGACAGGGCTCCATCCTTTATGGTCAGGGATAAAAAGTCTTTATACTGAAATCATGAAGCTATTCTCAGTGTCCTTAAAAAGTTTTAAGGTTTTACCTTTTCCATATCTATCACCGAACAGGAACTAAACTTGTTATATGGTGTGAGATAGGGATCAAATTTCATCTTATTCCCCACATCTGCTCGTCCCAGCACCATTTGTTCAAATGATTATCCTTACCCCATCAGTCTGCAGTGCCATGGTTTAATGTCTGTCTCTTCTATTAAACTATAAATCCCACAAAACACCACCATGTCCATGGGATCACCTTTGTGGCCCTAGAACTGGGAATTAACAAGCACATAATAGGAATAAAATAAGTATGAACCTTGCACACAGAAGAGGCAAGATTCTAAACTAATACTGCACTCTAATGGTGGCTTAGAGCACTGCTATGTAATAGAACTTTCTGTGGACAGGAAATGGTCTTTATCTGTGCTGTCCTATACAACTGCCACTAGCCACATGTGGTTGTTGAAAACTTGAAACGTAGCTAGTACAATCAAAGAAATGAACTTTGATTTAGCTTAAATTTTATTAACAATAGTCACATGTAGGTGTTGGCTACCATATTGGATGATACAGTTAGTACTAAGCATGGTAAGTAAGAGTAAGGACTCTCTAGAGCCAGGTCTTCCTGGGTTTGAAGCCTGACTTATTTGGACAAATTACTTAATCTCTGTGCCATCTCTGAATAAGGAGAACACTGCCATACGTATAGGGCTGTTGTAAGAATTACCTGAGAAGTTAAAGCACTTAGGGCCTGGGACATAGCTTTACGTAAATGTTATATTTAAACTAATAATAGTTTCGGCTATTTTAAAAAATAATCTGAGTAATTTAGGTTCAAATTTCCATACCTACAGATAAATACAAGCTTTGGATGGGGGCGTCCTGGGTGGTCTAGGGTTGCACTGTCTGTACTTCCTATGCATGTGGCTATTTGCATTTTAACTACAAGTGAAATTAAATTAAAAATTCAGGTTCTCGGTTGCCCTGGCCACGTTTCAGGTGTTGGAAGCCACATACAGCTAACGTCTACTGCCTTGGACTAATGTACACTCGCATCCTCAAAGAATGTCTGCAGGGCAGAGTCTGTCTCGGGGATTGCTCTCCACGCAGCATGCACGACACGCCAGATGCCAGCACACTACGTGATATTTGAACAGTTAAAACGCCAATGTCAAACTCCAAGCTCCGTTGTTGCCCAGATTGTAAGAGAAGCTGAACAGTTTTAGCTCAGAAATGGAGGAACCAGATCCGATTAGCCGGTTTTCTGGGCCTAAACTCCCGGAATCGCTACACAAGCAGGAGATTGGATGGCTTTCTTGTGAGGGACTTGGGGCAGGAGAGAACCTGGCGTCTCGCACATCCTAGAGTCTGACTGTAGTGTCCCGGGGGAGTGTGCTTCAGCCTTTTACCTTGTGCAGCCCCGCAGGGAGGGATGTCACCGACAGCCGTCTGGTGGTTCTGGCCCGGAGCAGTGTGCTTCCGCGGGTGATCTCCTCTGTCTCTGCTTCTACAACGTCGAGTTGGAGAGCTGCTCAGAGTGAAAAGAAGCTGTAATGATCACAGTTGTAAACATATTCTTCCTTTAGAAAGTGTCTGAAAAGACAGCATCCCGTGCTGCCTCGGAGCTTTTTTCTCGGGGTTAACAATTCCACCTGGATTTGCTTTTCTGTCTGACACCTTCTCTTGCACACACGGCCTTTGCTTGGGCTGGCGTCTCAGTGGTCACCAACCAGTCTTGAGAAGGTGGTTGGTCACCTCTCTGTCTTTGAGACCAGTTTGCTGCCTGAAACTTTTCCCTTTAACTTTGTGAAATTAGAAAAGTAACCTCTGATGTGTAGGACAATCCCTTGAATATTTGTTGTCGGTTGAAGCAAAGTTTTAAGATTTTTCTTCAGCAATGTGGCTCAAGGCTCAGGCACTCGCATACCATCCTAGCGGTTTCCCATAATCCAGGAGCCATGGGAACCCTTTAATGTTTTCTTTATAGCAATCCCATTCTTAACACAAGGAATGTATTTATAAAGGGAACTTAAAACACTATCATAAATCAAAAACCAGTACCATACATAGGCATTAAAATTAATATGGTAAACACAAAACCATATTATTGGCTGCAGAAGGCACTAAGCTTGAGTTTACTCTACTTTTTATTAAAAGAGAAAAAGGCAGGAAATGAGACCTTTCCTTGGTGTAGTTAAAGGGATCGATGTGTTTGCAGGTTGCTCTGTGTCAGTGTTTTTACTGTGCGCTGCACCCAAAGTCATCTCGTCCTACTGAGGGCTGCAGACAAGGACCTCTCCGGGAGCCATGGCTCCTAATCTCAGTGAAGCGGGGGTGGGGGGGTCCACTTTCAAAATAGGTGCTCAACCGGAGAAGCCTCCCTCTCCCCCACCCTCCACTGCCCAGCCCTCCCTCCCCACTGCCCCGACCAGCCAGGCTGCTGTCATCCCTTCCCAAACATAAGAGCCTGTTTACTGCTCCTTCTGCTTTGGCTCCTGCCCTCCTCCAACCCAGTCTCCACTCTGCAGCCGGAGCTATCTTTAAAAAATGCAAATCAGATTATGTAAATCCCCAGCTTGCAAGTATTTTGTGGTTTCTTATCACCCTTGGCTATGAAAAATTCTTAACTGGCTTTATAACACCCTTGCCACCTCAGTCCTGCCAGGATTGCTTTCTTAATTACGCTGGTGCTCTCTTGACGTTGGGTGCTCCCCTCTCCCTGGGACACCCTTTCCCCATTCTCTCCCTATTTGCCTCCAGGTGGCCTTCAGATGGCTGAGCTGTCCCTTCCTCCCCCAGGAGGCCTTTCTGGAGCCCCTCCCCTCCTGAGGCATGACACATTTTCACAGTGCCCTCTATCTGCTGCAGATGTAATTGTATCATGTTGGAATGTCCCTCTACACCAGGGGTCCTCAAACTTGTTAAACAGGGGGCCAATTCACTGTCCCTCAGACTGTTGGAGGGCCGGACTATAGTTTAAAAAAAAACTATGAACAAATTCCTATGCACACTGCACATAACTTATTTTGAAGTAAAAAAAACAAAACGGGAACAAATACAATATCCCGCGGGCCGTAGTTTGAGGACCCCTGCTCTACACTGTAACCCTGTGGAGGCAGGGATCATGTCTGTTCTATTTGCTATTCTATCCCTAACATGTGGCTGACATGTAATACATATTCAGCAGATATTTGTTGAAAACTGTTATGAGGGTCGGCAGGGAAGAGCAATGTTGTTTGGGCCACACCTGAGACAAGGTGGTTAATACTTGAGCTGCGGCCTGAAGGATAAGCATGTTTTCTGGAGAAATCTTAGAGCCTTGTTATTCCAACTAAGACAAAAACAAGCTGATGCACACAGATGAGGAAAAGGAACTTGGGGCTCTGTTTCCTGCCGGACTCTCCAACTGCAGCTCCATCACTATAGAGCACGCCCTTTTTGTTATTTTCAACAGAAATGGACAGGTCAGTCCATACCAGGTGATTGCTAGATGCTTGGATGCTTAGTGACTGCTTTTTCCAGAATGTTTGTTTGAAAGGACAGTCAGTCAACTAGAAGACATCAGTTGTTGTTTTCTTCCTAGAAAAAGTACCCAGCAGGTTTTCAGCCTTTTCACTGTGTGAAATGGGAACGTATGTGTGGGTTCCCTACATGTACCCCAGGGCTGTATGTTTCCTGGTGCTGGGCTGTAAAGGACACTGAAAAGGCTCTTAGGGCACTGGAGCTATTCTGTATGAGGCTGTAATGGTGGATGCATGATACAACATGAGGGGGTTTCAAACCCATAGAGCTGGGCAGGGCATAGAGTGAGCCCTAATGCAGACTAGGCTTCAGTTTGGTATAATAATATATCAATATTGGCTCATCAGTTGTGAGGATGGGGTGAGGAGGGGGGGGGGGCGGGATATGGAACTAACTCTCTGTATTTTCTGCTATTTTTTTCCAGTAAACGTAAAACTACTCTGAAAAATAAGGTCTATTAATTTTTAAAATCTATAAAGGCGAATGCAAATATTAGTGGTATTGTTAGCTATCCATCATAGGACCCCCTAAAACAGCATTACTACCTTGCAAAAAAGACATTTTTTTTTTTCAAATGTCAATTCTTACATAAAGTACATGGGGAGTAGACACAATAACATAAAATGTCCTTTTTGACTTACCGGTCATACATTTTATTCATAGAATTCTCACCACACTCTCTACTGTTGGAATTAGTCATTTGAAAGACTTGCATCACTAAGCTCCAGAAACAAAACCCAAAAAATCCCACTTTAGTTTGATTTCCTAATATATGTGTATGTGTATATGCATATACTCACATATGTGTCCATGCATGCATATACACATATGTGCCTATGCCTGTACATACACATCTATGTGTGCGTATATATTTAAATAAAAAGGGGCTATAAATTGACTAACCCACTGATCATTTGGACTGGGAAGTACCTCAAAGGCAATCTAATTCAGAGTTTTTCAAAATGTATGTACATCCTAGAGTTACTTGCAGATCTTTCTAACATGCAGATACTGACTCAGTAGAACAGGGTGGGGCCTGGGAGTCTGCATTGCAGACAAGCTCCCAGACATGCCATACTTTGGGTAGCAAGAAAATCCATCCCAATTGCATTACTCCTCCTGGCTCAACACCTAGCCAGCAGTGCCCATGATTACCGTTCTGTGGGAGTTTTCTCATCCTCGGAGTGGAGCGGAGCCTGGGCGGCGGCAGCTCCTGGGCACCTTCAGGAGGAAGGCTCTGCGGGTGGGGAAGGAGGGCTTTCTGGGGGCTGGGGGCGCCCGAACCGGCTGGCTTGTGTCTGTGCCGGGCTGACAGCATCCTCCCGATGAAGGTCTTCACTTTCTTCATCACACTTTTTTTCTGACTTTGCTGGCTTTCATGAAATTCCATGTCGCTGCCACTAGACGATTCCTCTTTGGGGACCAATACATTTTGTTTTACCAAGTTGGTAGACACAGCTTTATGCCATCTAATAAAAATAAAAATAATTTGTATGAAGGGAATTGAAAAGTTAAAAACAGGACATTGAAATCATTAAAATACAAGTGGCAAATGTGAACAAACTACACAATTCCAAGAATCAAATCGCAGAAAAATGAGCCACAGCAACTGCTTGGTGTCTTGTCACCAAACTGTAGTAGTGCATTCTGGCCACGACCTCACTGAATCCTCATAGTAGGCAGGTTATGTGATCATCTTCTTTTTACTAATGAGTAAACAGATACAGAGAATGGGTAACGTAATTAACTAGGCACAAATGCAGATTTTAATCCTGGTGTGTGACTGTTAGAATGTATTACCTCATATTGGCAAATTGGCAATCTTATCTCAGTGACGGTGTGAGACAGTTTTGCTGGATATGGCAGTTCTAAGGCTACAGTGGTGAGAGATGAGAGTCCGCCAGTCAATAAAGAATATCGTCTCCACAGTTCCACAAATGCTGCGTTTACATAGAATATTCATTTAGAGAGAAGAATTCTGAACACATAGTTCCAAAATGCCAACTAGTCGTATACTATCTTCATCATCTGGGCATATTTTAGTAATAAAAGTAGATACAATTTCTTAATAGCTTTCTTTGTGCTAAACATTCTACTTTTTTCATGCGTATTACCTAATTTAACCCTCATATGGCCACCTACCTTTTACAAATGAAATCAAAGCTTGGGCAGATTGAATGACTTCTGCTCAGGCACTGATCCCAAGGTCTGCATGCTTATCCTCTGTGCTAGAGTGAGCACCACCCATCCAGGACACCAGCATTTACCTAATATTCTTCCTCAGTTAATGGTTTTTTTGTTAGTCTCACCCAAAGCAATACTAGTCATAAAATCTCATGGATTTTAAAAAATTAAACTTTTTATCTTTAGATAATTGTAGTTTCACATGCAGTTATAAGAAATAATATTTTAAGCCCATTTTTAAAAAGAAATTCTCTTGTACTCTTTATCCGGTTTCCCCCTTTTGTAAAACTATGATGCATTATCACAACCAGCATGTTGACATTGATTCTATTAAGCTACAGAGCGTGTCTGTCACACCAGGATCCTTTGTGTTTTATAGCCATTCCCACTTCCCACTCACCTCACATTTTCCTTAGCCTCTGGCAACCACTAGCTGTCCTCCATGCGTACACTCTGTTTTTCCGAGAATGTTATATGAATCAATTCATACAGTATATAACTTTTTGGAACTTACTTTTGTCAGGCAGCATATTTCTCTAGAGATTTACCCACATTGTTGTGTATATCAATAAGTTGTTCCTTTTTATTACTGAGTAACATTCCATGATGTGACTATACCATGACTATTTACTTTGTCAACTATTCATTCACTGGAATATATTTGGGTTGTTTCCAATTTGGGGCTATTATCAATAAAGCTGCTATAAACATTGTGGATAGGTTTTGGTGTGAACATAAAACTTCATTTCTTTGGGTGAAATCCCAGGTTTTATATTATGTTATACTAGAGGCCCGGTGCACAGATTCATGCACCGGTGGGGTCCCTCAAACTGGCCTGCACCCTCTTGTAATCCAGGACCCCTCGGGGGATGTCAGACTGCTGGTTTCTGGGCTGGCCTGTGAGGATTGGGCTGAAACCGGCAGTCCGACATCTTCTGAGGGATGTAGTAGTGCCCAAAGCGGCAGGCGGCGGGGGAGGAGCCCAAGCCCGGGCCAGGAGCTGTGCCCCTCCTGCTCATCCCGGCCCCACGGGCCTGCTGCCGCTGCTGCTTGGTAGCACTGCTGAGGTGGCAGGAGAGGCTCACCCCACTGCAGCAGTGCTCACCAGCTGTGAGCCCAGTGTCTGACACCCGTCTGTCAGCTGAGCAGCGCTCCCGCTGTGGGAGTGCACTGACCAGCAAGGGGCAGCTCCTGCATTGAGTGTCTGTCCCCTGGTGGTCAGTGTGCATCATAGCAACCCATCCACCAGTCCTTCGGTCATTCGATCATTCGGGTCGCTTAGGCTTTTATATACATAGATGTACTAGAAGCTCAGTGCATGAAATGTGTGCATGGGTAGGGTCCCTCGTGGCTGCTGGCTGCCGGCCAGGGCCTCCCTTCCCCTGGCTGCCTGCTGCTGCCACTGGCCGGGGTGGGGCCGGCCAGGGGAGGGGCTGCGGGCAATTGGCCAGCTGGCCCCGTCCCCTGGTCGAGCTCCCTGTCGAATTCCTGGTCAAGGGGACAATTTACATATTAGGCTTTTATTATATAGGATTATACATGTAATATATATTTCTAATGTGGATGTAAATAAATTCATAACCATTAAAATATCCCTCAAATACTACCTGAAATATCTCATGTCCCACCAGCAGCACACATACCACAGTCCAGAGAACCCTGCTCAGAACTAGACCTATTTTAGTCAGTTTCTCTGTCATACGTGGGCAGCATGCCAGTGAGAGCCCAGGAACCAGAGCTAAAGGGTCTTGTTCCACCCAGCACCACACTTCCTTAGCTGTGTGATCTTGGGCATGTTATTTAACTCTACAAGCTTCAATTTTCTTATTTGCAAATTGCTATACGATTCTTAGAAATGTGCAAATAAAAGGAAGTAACATGTGCTTGGGACCTAACAAAACATTCAATAATCGATAGCTTTTGGTACCAAGTGAATCGGATCTTGGTGGGAAAATGTAAAAGTCAAGGAGGGAGACCTCCTGGGTTAGAGGAGTTCGGCCAGTTAACACACACAGCCTCTAGGGGGTGCTGTTCACATTTAGTCAGTAGAGTTGTGTATAGTTACTCTATCAACGTTCTAGCAGATGGCAGTAAAGTGTCCTGAGGAGGGAGTGTCATGTTCTAACTCACCCAGAAGTCATACATGGGCTAGGATTAATCTCCCAAGACACCTCTGAGAATCTTTTAATAAAGCCGTCTTTTTCAACTACCGTAAATACACACATGCACAACACAAAACAATGAAAACACGTTTTAGGAGGTCCAGGGACATTGAAAGCCACCCTCAGGTAAAAAGCCCATGTGTCTCCCATTCCCATCACTCCCCACCCCAATCCCAATCTTTAACAATTAACAAAGGTGATTTTGCTTCAGGGCCTAGGAATAGAACTGCTGAAATTTCTGTTAGAAAAAGAATACTACCGCCCTAACCGGTTTGGCTCAGTGGATAGAGCGTTGGCCTGTGGACTGATGGGTCCCAGGTTCAATTCTGGTCAAGGGCATGTACCTTGGTTGCGGGCACATCCCCACTAGAGGGTGTGCAGGAGGCAGCTGATCGATGTTTCTCTCTCATCAATGTTTCTAACTCTCTATCCCTCTCCCTTCCTCTCTGTAAAAAATCAATGAAATATATTTTTTTTTTTTAAAAAAAGAATACTACCCTTCTTAACTTTTAAAGTTTCTTGGTTAGTAGTAAATGTGTTCAGTTGTATTGCTTCAACTCCCCATTTCTTCTTAAAAGTGGAAATCTCTGCAAAATGTTATTTTGTCCATGAAAGTTCAAAAGTTTAGTCTGATGCTTTTGGCCTCATGAAACACCTGCTTTCTGCATGTCAGAGCTATTGCTAATGACCCTGGTAAGAAAGAAGCCAAAAGAAATGGAAAATAAATCATCTAACTAAAAATAAATCATCTTTTCAAATTAACATGTATTGTGTTTGGAATATTTCGTGCCCGTGTTTATGGTTTCGCCATTGGCAAGAAATATGAGGTATGAGACAATTTTTAGGTTACATTAAAGAGCATTCACGTAAGTGAGGTATAATCAGTACCTATTTCTGATAGTACCTAATTCAAGCAGCAGAATTGCTTGGAGAAGGAACAGAGTCATGGACCATGGCCTCATCTTGAGGGATGTTCTACTGAGTGTTCGGAACAATACTATCTGCATGGGATGTGCGATGTCTAAAATCCCGAGGCTGGAATGACCACCAGTGCTCACTTGGCTGTCATATGCCGCATTCAAACTCAAATTCAGGTGGAAGGAAAGCTTTTCTCCACTACAGCGAAGACTCTGCTGATCACCAGATGAGGCTTCCTGACCAGCGTGTAAATGCAGTGCCCTCTCCCCAGCCCACACAAAGAGACTTCATTTCCAAACGCAACGCTAAGAAGAGATGCTACCTTTTCTATTGTCACAGAGAATCCTGTTTAATGCAAAATCCAAAGAATCCCACTCAGTGAAAAAGAAAGTGAGTCCCAATTTCCTACCTTTCAATCCCCTTCCTTTTGAATGAGCTGTTTTTCCCTCTTGGTTGCTGAAATCTTCGGTACTGGCCAGCTCTCCCATAACTGAACTTAAAGGACTCCGGTCGATGGAGTGGAGGGCGGTCCATTCCTGTCAGCCTCACCTGCAGTCGCTGTTGGAGATTGAGCTCCAAAACTTCAAAACAAAATTATTCAGGGACTGAGGCAGTTTGAACTTCTGGGCTGCTTGGGTTAAAATATGCAGATTTTTTGAAATCTCTTGTTTATTCCCTTCCAGGTGTTAGAGACATCACTCCTGGGCCTGGCTTTGGTCATCATTTCACCCAGGTCCCAATGATGCATTTGGCAAAGCGGTGGGACATTCCTTTTCACTTTGTGGAATGTGTTGCAGCTTCCTGGGCAAGGCCCTCGATCGCGCGGGTCTAATTATCTAACCCAGTGGTTCTCAACCTTGGCTGCACATTAGAGTCACCTGGGAATCTTTTTAAAACCCTGATTTCTGGGCCTCATCCTCCGGAAATTCTGTTTCTTTGTTATGAGGTGGAGCCACAACATTAGTAACAAAGAAACAGAATTTCCGGAGGATGAGGCCCAGAAATCAGGGTTTTAAAAAGATTCCCTGGTGATTCTAATGTGCAGCCAAGGTTGAGACCACTGATTCTAACCACAGGCGTTTGGGCTGGTGATGATTATCACAGTCAGCTGTGCATGCTGAATTCC